GTCCCTTTATTGTCCTTATTTAGTCCTTAATAGATGAAGGTATCCATGACCCTGACAATTATGAAAGATGATTATGTAAAAATGGAGGAACATTAAGAGTGACAATTATTCTTGTAACAGAAATAACTAGTCTTTAGGTCTGTTCTTTTCAGTTCAATTTGTTACGCCACCATTTGTCTCTTCTTTTCTGTCCAACATGGAGAGAAAAAGAGGAAATGAACAATACAAGTTTATCTGAAAAGAATAGGCTATTTATAAAAGTGTGATCAAACAGAGATTCTGGATTCCTATTGATATTAATACTTTTTCAGACAACAAATTAATTTTTTAATTTATCATTAATCCTCCGTCCCTCTCCCCTCCCATCAATTTAAACTTCAAAGACATAGTCGATTTTGATTGTGAATTCTGGTAGAAATTTAAATCTGTAAAAAATAAGTACAATCCGAGTTTTATAATAATAAAAACTTATTAAAGTTTTCATAAGTATGAAAAAATTTTTTAGATTTTCATACAGTTCAGAACAATATAAAAATCTGCATTAAAGCTCAAAGATCCAAGTTGCTGACGAAAGACGCAAAGTTCTACATGGTTGATGGAGGATTAATGTATTTATTATTGTTGAATTCATGTAATTAATAATAATACTGTCTCGAATATCTTATAACTATAATTGACTTTAACGGTGTTTCAGATGTACATTCAGATTTCCAAGCACAACGATAAAGCTGATGTTCCAGTCGCTTGTTGACGAGCAGGAACAGAGTAACATTCGCGTACCCTCTCCGCCAAAGCAGCGGGCACCACTACCTCCTCTGCGGATAAACATACCGGACGCCGGATATAGCAGCCCATTCCCGTCACCCACGGGAACAATAAGCGCTGCTAATTCATGTCCGGCAAGTCCGCGTGCCGGTCAGGGCAGGAGAAATATTTCGGCGGACTTGCAGATGGTTGCGGCGTATGCCGCCTCCGTAGCAAACGATTCGCAGAATTCTACTTTGGATAGGCACAGCTTGGAGAGGCATGACGGTGGACAGAGCTCTAGCAGGCAAATAAGCCCGGAGCCTGGTGCTGATACTCGTTATCGAGGTAACAGTTCAGGACCAAATGGTACAGCACCACATTACAGTCCACCAAAAGATGACTCGAAACCACCGTACTCTTATGCGCAACTGATTGTCCAGGCAATCGCCTCGGCGCACGATAAGCAGCTTACCTTATCAGGCATCTATTCATACATCACTAAGCACTATCCATATTATAGAACCGCAGATAAGGGTTGGCAGAATTCTATACGGCATAATTTGTCGTTAAATCGCTATTTTATCAAAGTGCCCAGGAGTCAAGAAGAACCAGGAAAGGGTTCTTTCTGGAAGATTGATCCTCAGTCAGAGAATAAGCTCATCGAGCAGGCGTTCAGACGAAGACGGCAACGTGGTGTACCATGTTTCCGTGCGCCCTTTGGAACACTATCATCAAGGTAACTTTGAAGAAAACTTTGTATTGTGTGTATTGCATATATATATCGATCGATAATTTATTTAATATTAATTTAACACCATTTGTGCTCCAATCAACAGAAGTGCTCCAGCATCTCCGTCTCATGTAGGAATCAGTGGATTAATTACGCCTGAGTGTCTAAGCAGAGAGGCTTCCCCTGGACCCGAATCTTATCCGGACAGTTCGGTCCCATCTCCGACTAGGCAACTCGCGACAAGTCAGTCAGCTCCCGGTTCTCCCGGACATCCGTATACATCCCAGACAACTCATAAGGGACGCTTGATGCAAACAGTGGTAACAAATGGTGTCAGTGGCGATGCCACAGGAAGAGAAGGTAATTTTTTTTGTCTTGTAATCTTAAAAATTTCTTCTTTTTATTGAGAAATACTTTATCGCTCGTTTCTTGAAACAGAAAAATATTTGGTGCCTGGGAATACCATAGAGGACCATTCTTTATCTCCAGCTGGCCAGTATAGTCCAGCTCCTGTTATTGTACAAACAACCTATAATTACAGGTATAATTATGTTACATTCTTAATTCACATGATATTTTATTAATGTACATAATTTACAATTTCGTGTGAATTTTCTGTTTGCAACAGTGGAAACTTTATCAGCCCCGATGCTGGCATTGGGGGGGTTAGCAAACGCACTCATGAAGAATCAGACAGCTCGCCAGGTTCACCAGCTCCGCTTGCGATCGTCGAGAGCCCCGAGCCTCCTGAACATCAGCCATCGCAATCTAAACGTCAACGTATTCACGAAATGGATGATCATTGAACTGATATATCTAGCATCCTGTTACGTAGAACATTACATTTACATTATTTGCCTGTCGTCGAACACACACACTGCAAACTTCATTTTATTTTAACCGCATAACCTGCTTTAGACTGCACATAATCAAGACCGAGCGTCAGTTCTATGTTCTCGCGAGAATTGCGAGAAACTGTTGTGTGTACGAGCCCGCAAAAGAAAATCAACCACTGAGAGAAAGAACGAGCAAAAGACACTTTTCCTATCCTAGACTTCATGTTCTCAACATGATTTTCTCAACAACAGTCAATGTACATAAGATATATATATATACTTTATTAAATGCTTTCTCTTTATGACTTGTTAACTTCGGCAGAAGATATAGTATATATGTATATGGAGCTTATTTGATCGAAGGTCATCCAAAATAGTAACAGCAGCTGTTGCGCTGACACATCAAATTGCAATAATGTGATGCGGTAACGTGTGCCATTCAGCATTTAGCCGATATATTAAATAGACAAAGAAGAAAAGAGAAAACGAGAGTGTTATCCAGTGTAATCCATTGAATGGAGCGAAAATGCGATTTATCCATAGCTGAATCCGCTGACCGACATCCATTTCATTCGCGCGATTTCTGTTTTCGTATTGTCGCTTGCACCGGCTTGGCGTCGTCATCACGACTAATGAAGATTAACGATAGGCAAAGTGATAAGAGAGCTGAAAAATAATAGATTATTACAATTAGCGTTCTTTAAGACGCTCAATCGAACGTTCTATCTGAGAACAAAGATAAGACGCAGAATACTATCAATATGACAATGAAAAAGCCGGATAAAGAACGGGCGGATAAACCGACGAGCTTTTGTAACGTTAATGATGTGGTCTCTGTTAGAGATTGTTACCAGAGCCAGAGGAAACAAAAAAAAAATAGAGCCTTATAATGTATGTTTTACATTGTGTAATTAATATAAGGACACGATTTTATGTTAGTAGAACCTAATTCGAGCTGATCGAGCGGCTATACCCGGGAACATATTGTATAAACATAATACTTCTGTAAGGAGTTCACGTGCGCATCTCGCTGGTCCGGCGGGAAGTAGTAGGACAGAGGGGAAGAGAATATCTTCCGTCAAGGATTTTTTGAATTTTTTTTTTCATTCCGAGCTCTCGCCGCTCCTTGAATATGATCGATTATTTTGTTGCCGGAATGGAATGTGGTTCACCTAATCTAATCATTTATAATAGTCTCATTTTTAATCAATATATAGCTGTTTCAAATTTAAAAAAAAAATAGATAAAGGTAAAACGAAAGCGAAAGACAGGTGAGAGAGTTTTGTAAAACAATATCGAGAGGAAAAGTGATATGATACAACCGACGATAATGATGCCAAACTCGATTATTGATTCCTCCTGCGATCAGTTTACTTTTCTCGTGCAATTGTAGTTAATCTTAAACTCGCCGATTCCCCTAGAACATCGGCGTTAGGCAAGATAAAAATAAATATTAAAAAGAAAAACAGGAAAAACGACACATATTAGCGTTAGATTTACGGTGGAGCAAAAGGAGGGGCAGCAGGATTAGCGTCGTGCAATAAAGAGGCAAAAAAAAAACAGAAAAAGGAAGGAAAAACGAAATTTATTTTTCGCACCTTTCGCGAGAGCGAGCATTCTATCTGAAACGTTTATTTTTCTATAGTCGGACGTACATGAGCACAACAAAAGGTGGTTTTTGGATGATACTGCTAGACGGATTACACGCTGTACAGTGTTGATACATACGTATCACGAGCGACGTATGTCACTATTATTATACATATACGTACATACGTGTGCGAGATACGTGTACACACGCAGCAAATAGTAAGATAATATATTCGCGGACACGAGTGTCACGTGTGTCGCCAAAAGATCGATATGCGAAACAGGTATACGTGCGCTACATATACACATACACACTTTCCTTCAATGTCACGATGTGCATGTATGTGTGCATATGTATAATAACGCAATAAAATTAATACTACATCGTCAATCCGTTGTGCTCCTTTATTTTTTCCCCATTTACATCTCCACGCGTTTTATTTTTTTTCCAACATCGAGTTCCAAATTCGATCGAGAATTCAAGAGTCGATCAAGGAGAATGTCGCTCGATTGAAGTTTCAGCCAGTTTCGGCAGAGAGAAGCCTTGAGTGACCTTAGAGCGGCCATGCCCGGGATTTAGCTGCAAGGCTGCAACCTTATTTTGAAGCGCCTCTATATCCACAAAACGTGGACATTGAATTACGTAGCCAATGTCCACGATCCCGTCGATAATGTCTACGACTTTTTTACTGTATTCTTCGCTATGTTCACGATTTTCGGTCCGTTAGATAGATAAAGACGAACAATCAATCTGTCGGCGCTTGTTGAACAAACGATTGTTTGTCTTTGTCTATCTAACGGACCGAAAATCGTAGATATAGCGAAGAATATAATAAAAAAAATCGTGGACATTTTACATTCGTGAACGGGATCGCGAACATTGGCTACGTAGTTCAATGTCCACGTTTTGTGGCATAGAGGCGCTTCAAAATAAGGTTGCAGCTAAATCCCGGGCACGACCGCTCTCAGGCTTCTTTCTGCTATAGCTATCAGTAGCTATCGTCAACTACCCCCACTCTTCCCCCACCACGCTCTACGTGTTGGTAGCGCAAGCCAGAATCCGTCACCATTGCTCGCCACTAGAGGTCTTCCGGGTCCTCCCAGGCCTCGCAATTCCGGAATCCCAGAATCCTCCATCCCTCTCCACATGAGTCGCGTTGTTATGGCTGACTATGGCACTATGAAAATAGTCGCTGTCTCCCGCGACTCGTCGCAACGATTAATCAACAATCGTTTGAGGGAGTATTTCGATCATGGATCTAGAACGGAGCGACGCTAACATCTACGAGCTCATCACGCAGCTAGTCTGGCACACGTTGCAGAGAAATCGCTCAGAGAATGGGAATTTCTACATGCCGCCCAAGAGCGATGTCAAAATAGTGAAGGACTTTCGCTCGAAGGCTTATGAAATATTGTTAAATAAGAGTAATAAGACATATAATCAAGGTATGTTTGTATGCCTTAAATCACTGGAACAAAAATAAATAAAGACAAAAACATGATACATGTATTTTTTCAAATAATAATACTTTGTTGAGCATAATTACAGGAAATACAGGAAACTCCGATATTGATCCTCTAGTGGAGATCTTGAAGCATGTCTTCGTTCTCAGACTAGCCCTGAAACGCGTGTCAGAGGCGAAAAAGTTAGAAAATTTGATAAGCGAGCTGTATTCTGAGGAGGATGACACAGACACTGTAATTTATACCTTACAGTTGTTGATAGAACTTAAAAATTTTCAGACTGACACAGGAACTGCATTGGTATGTTATTTCTCCTGTTTGATCGTACAATCAGTTTTTAGAATTGAGTCAGAACTAATGTGAATCAAACTGAAATTTTGTTTAGGATGTATTTCACTATGGTAAAATCAATCCTTTCTTGCCTGAGGATGTTACATCTATGAATGGTGTACCAATGTTTCAAACATATCCCATGGAATCCTTTATCTTGCCAGAAAAGTTTGAGGCGATGCTGGGCATACGCAGAACCTGTACCAGGCAAGAGACAGCGACCAATTTTGTTAGCAGAGTATCTTTCGAAGATCAGTGTATATCAAAAGCCATCTTAGGTATCCAAACAATTAGGTATGATCGCAATGATGTTACCTTATTTCCTTGACCTTATTTCCTGTAAATGAATATCTTTAGTTTTTTTATTTATTATTTTAGGTATAATAATGCTATTGAAATGTCTCCTTGCATATCAAGCCATACTGAAAATACAGCAAAACAATGTAACATAATCGCTCCTTTCTTAACACATACTATGGTAAGTTATATATATTTATTTTTTTTATACATTTGTTGTTTATAATACATGAATTATATTTTTTTTATCAGATTGAACAAACAAATAAGATATATTTATCTACACAAAGATTTATGTCAAATATGACTTTACCCTATGAATGGATAAAGTCTGTAGATAATCAAATTCAGAATCGTTTCTGTGCTGTGTCATCGGAAAAATCCGATTGTAATTTTACAAACGAATCAAAAAGCGTTGCAAGTAACATTGATTTAATATGGAAAGAGATACTGCTTTCTGATGATTGTGTCTCCAAATTACGAACGTGGGAATCTCTCGGAGCACCAGAGTTTTCCAAACAATCGTTATTCGTTACTGATCTGCCAGAGACCGCGCTGCACTTAGCGAGGATAAGACAAACAAGTATTTTATCACTGCTGCCAAAGAAGGTAAAGATGGCAATGCCTGTGCAAATATATCATGCAAAAATTGTTCTCTTTATGTTATAGACAATGAATTCCATATCTCTAATGTCGGAGGTTTCGTCTGAGAAATTTTTATCGGACGTCAAATTGTTGTTATTTGGTATAGATTCAGATTCCTTTAAATATGATACTGTGGTACGTGGATTTGATGAGCTACGCTAGCGCAATAGTAAGTTTTATATATCATGATAGTCTTATTTCAGACAGGATTTAAATTGGAGGAGAGCATTACAGTGCATGGCATAAGCTTCGAGTCACTGAAAAATACTTGCCAAGAAGCGATTTCTTGGGGCAACAGTTTCAAGTTTTTGTCGCGTCTTGTCGTGCCCGATCCACAAACGGGTAAATTGCAGCAGCACGGTCTCATATTCAAGGTACATATAATTGTACGAATTCTTACAATACATCCTATTCATATTTTTTAATTACATGCGATTCAATTGTAGGCAATGTGCGCCAATATCAAAGAGCTACTCCTTTACTATCACTCGGCATTGCAAAGGATTTTTAACAAACATAAATTTCCCGGATTGTTGAATCTATTGAAACAGATTCGTCCGCTGGCGCGTTTAATCATAGAAGTCACGAGACTGTGCGGCTGCAGCACAAATCAATGCGTTTTAGGCGGTGGCAGTGGGATTTTAACACACATTTACAAAGAGGTGACCAAGGTCACCAATCCGAAGGTCGCATTGGTGTTTTATTCCATATTAAAATCTTGCTGTGAAGTTTACTTTCGGTGAGAAAACGTCATGTCTTTTTTTTTGTTTTTCACAAAAAGGCAAATAATGTTAAATGGTTAAATCAAACAAATATTTACTAATTATTCTTGTAGGTTGTTGCAAAATTGGTTGTTCGAGGGAACGTGTGACGACATTTACGGAGAATTTATGATTCAAGCACGATCTCACTATCTACGAAAGAGAGGACGCAAGTTTTGGACGGAGAGTTTCGCGATCGATACCGAATCGGTACCTGGTTTCTTATCTGAATTGTCGGAGTCGATACTGCAATGTGGGAAGACATTGCGACTCTTAAAAATTTGCAGTCCCAAGGTTATTACTGTTCATTACTAAAGCTTGTTCGTTTTTATAAATTTAATTGTGAATCAATAAAAAGATGTTTTAATGTTTGCATTTTAGAATTCTGTATGTAATGTGTCTTTCAACGCTCAACCGGAAGTGAGGGTCTGCTTGAGTGTGTCCATGTTGCGAGAACAATTGCTAAGGTGTCAGGAATACGAATGTAAAGGCGAGGCGGCATTGGGACCAATCGTATCTCTTTTATCCGCAATTCAGGATGAAAAGAAAGCCGAGAGAAAAACGGCTGAGCTCGTGATACGCGCACAACAAGAAACGTTATCGAGGCTGGATAGTAAGATATTCTTACGTTTTCAATTTTTATCGAGTTCTAAATTTAAAATATACATATGTAACAATTTCCATGATCTTTTTTTCTTCAGAGCAACGCAAAGAACTTAGCATGAAAGCCGCGCAAAGTAAACGGGAATTGCTACAAGAATTGAAGCAACAGGCGGAAGCGAGTGCATTAATTAAAGAAAAGGAAAAAGAGAATGAAATGCTAGCTGACAAATTGTTGCTCGAAAAGATTAATCGAGAACAGGAAGAAATGCGGGAACAACAGCAAGCCGAGAGGTGAGATTTAATATTTTAAATTTAAATGAAGGTTACTGGAGATTGATCGTTACCGATTTTAATTTTAAATATTTATGGCATTAATTATTTTGCTTGTTTCAGGGAAAATCTTGTAAATTATTATGATAAATTAAGTGCTGATATAGAGAGCAATCGTGCACGATCCATTTGGCGAAAGACGCGAATGAGTCATTTCGAAAGACGAGTGGAATTTTTAAAATCTGTAAAGAGACACGATACAGAAATGTCGAAAAATGTTACTACACCAAGTTCCGATGAAAATACAGTCATCGATATTAACGAACAAAATAAAAATACATCCGAAGCAGAAGCTGTGTCCAGTCAAGACGAAAATAGCAACTTTGCGGAAAATGGTTTGTTGGATGTAGCTGCGACAGACATTTCCAATCAGAGCAATCCTGAAGATCTCTTGAACGTTGAATGCTCGGATGTTCCGCCTGTCGAAAATTGTGAGCCCGATAAAGATATTTCATCGGATAAGAAAATTACAATTGAGGATTCCCCCATTATGGCGGATACACAGAATTTACCTCTACCGCAAGAAACTCCATCATTAAATTATAAAGTCTATAAGAAAAATAACGAGAAGAGCAACCTGCAGGATTTTCTGCATAACGAAGCAATGAAAAACATCCATACTATAATAAATGGCAACGATAAAACGAGTGTGCTCGATACTCGTTTAAACAACATCTTGGAAGTCGACGAGGTGACCGAGAGAATTATTGGTGCTATTAACAGGCCTAAGTCCTTAGTTATTAACAGGATAGATAATATGACCGTCGCACAAACCAACAAACTTAAAGTCCTGATGCAAGAGTATGGTATGACTCCGAATAACAACGAGCTCAGTACGATACTTACGAACAATCAAAGATTTATTAATCGCACAAATACGAACGGTAATAATCAGATATTAATTGATATCACTAGTGAATCAAGCTCGAATAATACGAAAGAAAACATGAACAATAATGTCTTTTCATCAACCAATATCCAACTGCCAGCAGAAACAATGAATGTACACGGGCCTATGAATGACGAAGAATGTTCAAATAAGGCCAACAATACAAATAATGAAGCAAACGAGATATTGAATAATATGCAGCAGCAGAATAATATAGATACACCGATGTCATGTACGACCGATAATTTCACCACAGCATCGATTCATACTCCTTTGTCGCAGATACCGAATAGCGATGATATATTCGCTTTGAACGCCGGTCAGGAAGTCTCGTCTTTATCCGACGATATGACGAAGTCGATCGCAGAAGAAATAACATGCTTCGAGTCTCCGATGAGCAGTAATTTCAAGCTGCCGAATCTATTCGGTGTTAGTTCCGACGTGAAATCGTCGACCACACCTTCGTCTCTGACCATAGCTGACGTTGAAATGATCGACCATACGTCTCTCCAAGTGTACTTGGAGAAATCGATCATTATACCCCTGCAGATACAAACCCGGCTGGTTAATAACGCGATCATTAAATACCTGGTGAATGAGCACAACATGTTCTCGCATTTGCACAGTTTACGTAGTTATTTCTTCCTCTTGAATGGTGAATTCGCAAAGAGTTTAACGGACTCGCTTTATTCGCGGCTCTACACAATATCCGCGCCAATCGAACTCTTTAATTCCGCTACCCTTACGAATCTTTTGGAGAAAGCGCTGATGAACTCGTTCAGCAATAATTACGCCCATTCGGAACTTTTGAGTCTTTCTGCCGTTGACAAACCATGCCAATTATACGTAAGTGCGGTTATCTGTTTTTAATTGTTATTATTATTGTTATTATTATTATTATTGTTGTGATACTTGTTCCGATATTAATAACAGTTCCTTGCAGATTTCAGATCCGAATGTGTTAGAATGTCTTTGCCTCAATTATAAGATAGCGTGGCCATTGAATATTATTTTAGATGACATGATGATGCTGCAATACAGCAAAGTATTCAAGTTTTTAATAATGATTGGCAGGATGTCGTGGGTATTACAGGAAGACTTTAATATAATGAAAGTGGATCGTAACGCAGTTAATTCAAAACAATATCACAAGGTAAATCATCTCTATCTCATATTGAGATATTGAAAAATTAAAGAATTATTCTTATTGATTTTACATGTTTTGCCGATACAGTTGCAATTATATAGACACTCCATGACACAATTTATGAATGCTCTTCACAATTATTTAACATGTAGCGTACTACATGCGAGTTGGAATGAGTTTGAGAAGGATCTGCAGAATTCCCGGACAATAGATCAGATTTATCTCTCGCACATGAATTATATTAAAAGGATACTTTCAAGGTAGTCTATGGGACTTGATTGGTTTTTCTTGGAACCGAACACGCATGACTCATAACATTCCGATTTCAGGTGCATGCTCAACACACGCGGAGAAAAAATGCGCGTTTGTTTGATCAATATCTTTAAAATCATATTGAAGTTTCACAATCGCTTGAGGTCGCAAGCTTGGACTGTCGACAGCACGGGTCGGTACAGCCATCCGAATTTCAAGAGCTTGGAACAGATGTATCAATCGTTTTGCGAATGGCGAACGTACATGGCACACGTCGCGCACAAATTGGCTACCAGCGGGTACCAGCCGCATCTAATGCATTTTCTTAACGCTTTGAATATAAATGACATGTACGATTTAACGACAAAGCAACAATAGCACTGTGATTAAATTCCGTCTTTTACGATGTATTGAATGTAAAAGAATGTGAGTAATCTCTCTTGTAGGGATTCATTAAAAGGAATTTAATTTTCAAAAAAAAGAAATGTCTCTTATATTTATTTAGCAAAATGGGCGATAGTTAAGAAACAGCCAACCACTATCGCTTACACGGATATCGATGATACATTGGTCACATCGAGTACCTTAATGCAACGACCGCAAAGACCGTTTTTATCTAATTCAGGATATCGCCTGCACCTTTGGCAGAGCATTTTTTCAGTATTATGTAACTCAATTTGTGTCTCGGTTACCGTGGGTGATTCTACCAATATAATTGATGAGAGTTGCAAAATGTCGCATAGTTCCGACGTAGAGGATTCCTGATCTTTTTGAAGCATCTGTGAAAAGAAGCAGGTACGACTTACAATATAATCACGTTTAATCATTATTATTGCGAGTTAGAGACTGATATAATTTACGATTTATAGAAAGTGCCTCACCGAAAGTGATTTATAGTCATTTTTCGAAGCCTTTAAGATGCCCGACAATTCCCATGTGTTACAATCAGCCGATATATTCACCTTGCTTCTCAAGCTTAGAGCTGTTTCTACATGTCTAGCAATTTCCGGTTGATGCCAAGTTTCCGGTACTTTATATTCAGTATGATACAGTGGCACTGACGCTGTAAATAATACGTGGACAATAATATAATGTGCAGGAAATGCTTTCTTATTAAATCACCTACCCAAATTTTCAGGGTGATATAACCACACTTCTTCTGCTAAATGCGGAACGATCGGCGCGATAGATCTCGCAAGTACAGTCAGGGTTTCACGCGTTACTTCTACTGCAGCCAGACGCGTTGGGGACGCTGCTTCATCGCAGTAAAGTCTATCTTTAATCAAATGGCAGTATACCGGCGACACGGTGTTTGCCAGGAAATACGTTACCAACTTACACACGTGGTGATACAAATAATCGTCGTATAAGTTTTGAATCTAAGATAAAGAATCAATGTCATAACTAATGTAGATATTCCTTAGATATCCTTACGCTTTACCTTTTTGTTATACTGATGCAGAGAATGTAACATGTATTTGTCAAGGTAGAGATATTCCGGTTCGACTGCGATTCCCTCGCTATATGAGTGTAAAACACCTAAGAGGAATCGTAAGACTAAGCGCAATTTTTGTATGGATTCGTGACTTTCACGTAACAACGCTGTTGTGACTGGAACCTGGCTGTGTTGACATCCATGACTAGCTACCCACCATCTATCAATTTTCTTTTATTAACCTTAACTATTTTATTTCCAGAAATAACGATTACATTAGCGAATATTTTTAATTGACCTTAGAGTGTCGACACCATATGCCGGATCTTTACTCAAGTTTTTTCCTCCTTTGGTAATTGTCTCGGGATTTATAACGTTTCCAACTGATTTCGACATTTTCGAGGTTTTATCATCTACAGCAAATCCATGCACGAATAACGCACTTTGGAAAAAGCAACACAATTTATAAATATTTTTGAGAGCTAATATTTAATTTCACGTTGCGTAAGTTACCTGTAAGGAGAACGTTCTTGAAGAGCAATGGATGTTAGTAACGATGATTGAAACCAACCGCGAAACTGATCCATTCCCTCTAAATATAAATCTGCTTTATGTTCTGGTAAAACAGCCGACCATGAGAGCCCGCTATCCAACCAGATATCCATGATATCCTTTAAGAAATATAGTTATGAATTTTGCAGTCATGCATTGATATTCACGATTCTGTTAAAAGAAATTACTAGTTTTGTACATACGATTCCTCTTTCGAAATCATTTATATTGTTGTTTAATTCCTGCCGAAGTTCACGACCAATTAATTTCTCGGTCGACAGCTCCCACCAATAATCGGTTCCATGTCGTTCCATCAGTCTGCACAATCTTTCAACCCATTTTCTACAATACGAAAGTATGTGTAATCCTATTCGAAACTTGTTAATTGTATTGCTAATTAGCAAAATCACCTGCTTGTATATGTATCACCAGTTTGTTTATTGTGCAACACTGGTATTGGCGTTCCCCAGGACCGTTGTCGAGAAATACACCAATACGGTCGTTGCTTAACTTGAGCGACCAATGCGTTCAAATACGACGTCCGATTTTGCTTCGGGTATATTCTTATATTCGCGATGCTGTCCTTGCGTAAAAAAGACATAAGCACACAAGTGATGAATGCGTAATAACATGCCTGTTTCAGAAAGACCCGACTGACTTACAATTGCCTTCTCCTTAATAGACTTTATGTCTATGAACCATTGGTGACTCGCGCGAATGATTACAGGCTTCTTGGTTCGCCAATCATATGGGTAGCTATGCGTAATTGTGTCAGTATACAACACGTCTTCACCGATACGTTGCAAGACCTTATTAGTGCCATCATTTAGAACATTTAAGCCAGAGAACTCGTCACCCGCTTCTTTGGTGAAACATCCGTCGACGTCTATCAAAGATAACTATAACAGTGATGTGAATTGACCCAATAAAATCATGTGATACAACTGATTAGAATATAAATTACACTGTCATCGATAAAAGATAGCTTACAACTGATATATCATTCTCAATTGCGATGAGAAAGTCTTCGGGACCGTGCGCGGGAGCTGTGTGAACCAATCCAGTACCGACATCAGTTGTAACATGATGTCCAGATAAAAATGGCAAACGTTGTTTGGTAATAGGATGAAGATACTTGGCTTCCCCTAATTCCTGTCCTGTTAATAAATCATTTTTCATTTATCACTCACATTGCTATATACAGGGTGTCTCATAATGTGATTCCAATGTATACACCTATTAGCATAAAATATTTAAATATAGCTGACTCTTACCCATAACAGTCATAATAAATTTTAATGGACCAAGCTTTTGCTCAATATTAGCTAAGCACTCTTGTGCAAGAATATATAGATTTTTCGAATTGTCTTCCATAATGCAGTATACAATGTTATTAGAGAAAGCTATAGCTTGATTAGCTAGCAATGACCATGGTGTAGTAGTCCAAATAAGGGCATAAAGTGGTTTATTTTCCAAGTCTTTTAATCTTGGGGCTAATGCGTGCGTGTCAAGTTGCATGCGAATAATAACACTTTTGCTCTTATGAGATTCGTTGTATTCTAGTTCTGATTCTGCTAATGCTGTTCTATAATTATTGAAAATAAAAAAATCAAAGGCTAGAATCTTTTTTGAGTGATCTATGGATATTTCTAATTTATACCTGGAAGATGGTGACCAGTATACTGGTTTAAAGGCCCTAAACACGAGTTTACAGTCATACAGATTTATAAATTGTTGCATCTGGTTCTTCACATATGAGATATGGTTCGTGAAATAACATCCTGATTCGTTCCAATCAGCCATAATGCCCCACGATGTAAAAGCTTGTCGCTGTTTTATGATAGCGTCACTTGCATATCTTCTAGCTACAAATACGGCAAATTTTAGGAGTACATGATGTGTGTTAAGACATTTATATGCCAACATACCTTTGTGGCGAATTTCTAAAGGATTGTCATCTTTTATATCACCAAGTACCTTTTGTTCAATTGGTAAACCATGACAATCCCAACCTGGGATGTAATGTACTCTTCTGCCTGACATAATTTTGCTTCTCAAAGTAATATCCTTAAGAACCTAAGTGAACAAAATAATTCCTAAATATCAGTGCAATAACAGAAAGTGCCATAAAATTCTTAGGCTGGTATTCATAGTCAGATCTTGTATTCAAGACCATCTTAGTACAGATGTCATGAACCAATCAGGGAGCCGCATTAGCGTCTTAAGATAGTCTTGAAATAAGAATCGACTATGAATACCGGCCTTAGTTAATAAAAACCTTGTTAATAGCATGACCCATGTGTGGTTCTCCATTTGCATATGGTGGTCCATCATGCAAGATAAAGTCTGGTCCTTCAAGATTCTTCCTCTGCCAGTTGTATAATTCCAAGAAGCCGCATTTCTATCGCAAGAACACCAGAAAAATCAGTATATAGATTGTCATTGTTTCGTACAATTGAATCACAACAGTCAGAATTTATGTAGCCATGCAAATATTCAGCGATTTTATCGGAAAACAGACGTTCTGATTTAGATGCTAAATAATGGAAAAAAAAGTAGAAAGAGGACCCACCTCTATTAAATAACTATCCATCTCTACTCGTTTTTTGCCGCCGAGTCGCGCCGGGAAATTGGTTTGCGGCAGCAGCACAGTTTTCGTATAACTTTGTTTTGCGGCGCTCTTCATGCCTCTCAGCCATATTGCGTGACAGAATTCGGCGTAAGTCCGCAAAGTAAACCCAGTTGTCTTAAACAATCGCCTCATCTTCACGCTAAGTACGGACATTATTCAAATACAAAAAGACACTTTGTTTTAATCTTATCTCCTAACCTCAGTTTCTCCACTCGAGTCTGTTACGCCATTTTTAAATGCCATAATCTCGTTGACACACGCATCAGCATGTGCTGTTCATTACGATCTATTTCAATTATTTCAAACCAGACTCCAGAGAGAAGTCTGAGAGCGGCCATGCCCGGGATTTAGCTGCAAGACTGCAACCTTATTTTGAAACGCCTCTATGTCTACAAAACAGACATTGAATTACGTAGCCAATGTCCACGATCCCGTCGGTAATGTCCACGATTTTTTGAATATATTCTTCGCTATGTTCACGATTTTCGGTCCGTTAGATAGATAAAGACGAACAATCAATCTGTCGGCGCTTGTTGAACAAATGATCGATCGTCTTTGTCTATCTAACGGACCGAAAATCGGATATAGTGAAGAATACAATCAAAAAATCGTGGACATTACATTCGTGAATGGGATCGCGGACATTGGCTACGTAATTCAATGTCTGTTTTGTAGACATAGAGGCGCTTCAAAATAAGATTGCAGCTAAATCCCGGGCATGGCCGCTCTCAGGCTTCTCTCTGATTTCAAATAAGGCTCATTATCGATATATGAGATATCGATATTTCTTCTATGAGCTTTTAAAATCCTTTATTCCTATTAATTCCTTTTCGATTTACTTTCATCATTTTCGGTATACTTTTAATTATTTATATTTTTTATATTTTCGCTATCTTTATAATAATGGAAAAATTTTGAGAGAAATTTTTGTTCTATAAATAATACATCATCGTCTCTAATAAATTCAATGTTTACAATTCTGTTTATGTATGTTCTGATTGTGTGAGCGTCATCTTGACATCGTCTGTTAAATTATTATTAAAAAAATCGTTATCTTTTACGTTCCTTTAACCGTCTTCTGGCAAGATAATACACAGTATCTTTGACAGACTAATTTGATTGATGTTAAATTTGTAATTGCTGAATTTTAGTTATTGTTGAGCCTTTCAAGGAAAACTTTGATTTTACGTTTCAGGTAATGTATACGTATTATTAACAGATTACATATATATAATATAATATATATATATATAATATATATTCCGTCATTTTAAAACATTAACGTAAATTTGGCAATTTATAAAGCTTCAATAATTCAAAATAATCTAAACTTGTACATAAAAAAAAGAAAGACGATTTGAGCTGTCCTGTTAATAATTAGGAAAATAAGAAAAGCCGAGTAGGCGAGTGATGACTCTTATTAAATTTTGCGTAAAGTGTACACGATTTATAATGATTGGTGGCGAATTATTTTTGTCAGAGTTATAAGACGTTCTATTTAATCATATAGAACGTGAGAATGATAAATATTATTTGTGAATAATTTTATCTGATATTCATTTGCGAGAGTAACATACAATCTTATATGAAATTTAATTTATATTCCATCTTTCGACATTATAAGGTACTAAAAAATTTTTTTTGTAAAAAAGTATGTACAGGTTCAACTTATCCGCACCGGGTACGGTGTTTTTATGCGAAGAACCCAACAGACGTAACAAAACTTGTATCGCAGCCAGCTTAGACATGCGTACCACAATCACGTTCTCTTCGCTTCCTCCAGCAGCAGTTCGAAGAGATTTTATCGAAATAGATTTCCCCAGTATCCAGTTACACGTGAAAATATCTTTACGCCAATTTTTCATACACTTCTTTGGCGAAAATTTATACGATTACACATTTTCTCGTGTTACGTTGCATGAAATAGTAAAAAATTTTATCACTTCCATGACGGACTATGATGGCATATACGAACCTAGCAACCAGGCTCATCAATTAAGTTTACAAGCATTCTTTTTCCTTCTCATCCTTATAAACTTTAAAGAAAATATCAACATATTATCATCTTTTATTGTGAAATTATCGACGGAATTGCCGATCGGTGAGAATCTGGGCAGTTCGGCATCGTTATGTCGCGGTATGTCTCGCGGCGTGTTTTTGGCGTTGGTCCCTTCTGCAGAAAGGGATTGTCCTCTACGAATTTGGCAAACAAGATCTCCTGAAGATCTCGAATTATGCTCAGGATTGTGATTCTGTTATATACAATTCCTCGACTAAGATCGGTACCATAATATCCACATACGGCATGATAAAAATATTCGACGGAGGGGTAATAAGTACGCCGAGATATCAAAGTTTTTTTCTAATTTGCCAGACATGAAAATCCTGTTAGTCTTCTCGAATGTTAGTCAGACAACAAAAATCGAGTTGCTAAGCGAAAAGAGTATGAAAATTCAAGCGTTGGAGAATCCATCTTTGTTAATCGATTTCATCCTAAAGTATCGAAGTAATATCAGTATTAAGTTTATTCACATGCTTGATATTATTGACAAAAAAACATATAATTGTTTAAAAGGGAATAATGACAGTCAATCTATTAATATAATAGATAATTATAAAACATTATTGGTAAGTGACAATCTTGCGTTTCGCGAGTTTTCTTCGTGTTTAGATCCATTCTTGGAATGCCAACGTTTCGTGAAAGCCTCAAGAATATTATTAAATACCTCTACGGGGAGAGTATCCTTGCTAAAGTAAACACTTTCAGCAAACTAAGGTCTTCCCTAGCCAAGAAACTATCAAATCTGGCATTCCTAAAATGCTGTAGGGATAATAACATCATCCCAAAGTTCTTGCAACTCAAGGACCACCTAAGAACCCACAAATCCAAAAACATCCTCCATAAAACCAGCCTCATCCTCATCAAAGAACGCATCCACTTCACCAAGTCACAAATTGCCCAGATCTCCCATAAAACCTTTAAACTCCACCTACTCCTATCCGCCACGTTGCGGCATGACATATGGCAAACTCTAGATCGCATTACATACAAACAAGCCATGAATACCCTGACACTATCCTCTGAAAGACAGAAACAAAAATACATTGACCTTGTCCCTCACAAAAAACCACAACCCTCCCTACTCAACGTCAAGAACCTATCCAACAAA